GAGAACGCTTTCGGAATCTTAGCAACTAAATTTCAAGTTTTCCATCGAAATATTCACCTGCCAGTAGAAAAAGTTGAAACATTAACCTTAGCCGCATGTGCACTTCACAACTTCATTCGCTGCAGAGATGGATTCGACAGCAGCCTCACAGATTCCGAAGATACTGTCGCAGTAAATATGACAAATGGATCCTGGCGAAACGAGGTGCAACTAACTGATATTCAGAGATCACAAGCAAACCGATCCGGTGAAGAAGGAAGAAGGGTGCGCGACGAATATACAGAGTATTTTAACACACAAAGATCTATTCCGTGGCAACGGGTTGCAATTAAAAAATTTAATTTTTAATCAAACATCTACTGTTCACCATTGTGCCTGCAAATACAGTGATTCGAAAAAACTATAGCCGCACAACATTTTGCCAAGTTTTAACTTTTTTGTTATTTAATTTTGGTTGTTTTTTATAAAACTATAATTAATTCTTTTACATAACCCATGTAAATCCAGGTTTCAAACTTTGTGCAATATTTGGATAAAAAATCCTTAAACTTTCCTAAAAACTTCCGAGATTTTTTAATTTCCTAGAAATATTCTGGGTATGCAGTTTGGCAGCCCAGTTAGTTCTAATAGAATAAAGTATAAGTTTCTAGTGGCTAAAAAATACTTTTAATTTTTTTTGGAAGATATTACGGTTTTTTCATATTTTTATTTTGTGTTTACTCGTTGTATGGAAGCAAATGGGACAATCTTCCAGATTTTTATAATTTTTACACAATGTTTGAAATGCGGATTTATATGGTGTTTGTTACATAATAAACTAGACTTTTATGAAAAAATAATGACAATTAAATAAACAAAAGAAAAATGAACAAAATTGATCAAAATGTTGCTGGCATAATTTGCTGATCACAAGTGTATGTATATAGATATACATATGTACATTCAAACAAACCTAGAAACAACTATTTTTATGTAATAGAAAAATTCACAGGTTTTTATTGCATTAAAAGGTACTTTACATATCGCACGTTTAATAGTATACAGATGTAACTCAAAATTTTAATTTTTTGAGAAAACGCAAACAAAGTTTTATCATTTTAAAAAGTTTAATTTAACAGCAAATTACGATGACACCGAAAGAGTCACGTCAATCTTCAATTTAGGAAAACAAATTACAATTATTAAATTAGTAGATTGTTGTAAAAGATATTCATATTATTTAGAAGAAGACACTTAATTTTGGCCTTACATTTTTCATTCAGAGTTAATTCACTTTATTATTAAAAATTTATTCCGCCAAAAGTAATTTCATATGGTGTATTTCTAAATATTACATTTTCTTTTAAAAAATAATTTGAATTTTTAGGAAACAATCCGTTTTGCTGCAGTAAAGTATGTGCACGAAAAAAATTGGTCGCAAATAAGCAACAGCTCGGTTAATCATAACAGAAAAATAAAGACAGGTACTCATTTAAAAAGCTGAAAGCATTCTCCACCTTACTGCATCATTTCTTTTTAGCAACAAAAATCAGTGTAGAAACGAGGACCAATGAAAGAAATCGATCGCGAGTTAATATTGCGCAAAAAGCTGGAAAATCCCAGCATGTCCCATAACGACATCGCTAAAAAGCTAAAATTTCCAAAGTCTACCATTACTTATATGTTTGCAAAATACAATGAATGTTTATCTCTAAAAAGGAAGCCTAGTAGTGGCAGAAAAAGGGATTTGCATGCGAAATTAAGGCAAAGGAAGCATTATCTGCTTTTAAGAAAAATCTTGGACTTTCGGTAAGAGATGTCGGCAAAAAAGTAAAACATGTCGTCTTCATATGTACAAAAAGTACGCAAAACAGCAGGACTACGTTCTTACAAAGTGAATGCAGCTCCTAATCGCAACGATAAGCATAATTTGTTGGCGAAACAACGTCCTCGGAAATTGTACAGTCTTATACACAAATTTGGCTGTATTATTATGGATGACGAATCGTACGTAAAAGCCGATTTTAAACAAATAAAAGAGGAAATATTGCAGATAAATATAAAAACAAAAAGCTTGACAAATTTCCCAAAGAGTTTCTCATTTGGCAGGCAATTTGCCAATGCGGCTTCAAAAGTGATCCTTTTGTAAGCACTGGTACAATTAACGAAGAAATTTATGTTAAGGAGTGTCTGCAAAAGCGACTTCTACCTCTTATACTGCTTCATAAAAATCCAGTGCTTTTTTGGCCTGATCTCGCGACATGTCATCATGGAAAAATGGGTTTAGAATGGTACCATAGAAACAAAGTGTATTTTGTAGCTAGAGAGGTGAATCCACCTAATTGTCCAGAGCTTCGGCCGATCGAAACCTACTGGGCCGTTATGAAAGCCAAACTTCTTAAGACCCACAAAGCTGTAAAAAACGCACTACAGTTCAAAAATAAGTGGCGGCTAGTTTCCAAGGAAATCACTGAAACTTCTGTGCAAGGGCTAATGAAGGACATAAAGTCAAAATTGCGATCGTTTGCTTATTACAAGGAGAACTAACCTGTTTTTTTTAACGAATTTCAATAAAACTAAGTTTAGATGTAAATATATGTAAATATAGTTGAATTCCATTAATATATTTACGTTTTAGAACGTTTTAAATGTGACCAGTTTTTTTTCGTGCACATATTTTACATGTCTAAAAAGTATTCAATGATGGAAAACTATTTTTTAAATACTCCTGCTTAAAATAGATATTAATTATTATTCGATCATAAGAATAAAGTACTAAGCAATTCTACATTTCGATAAAGCTACACCTAGTTCACTAATATATTTACGAGTTATTACCAAATACCAAAAATATTCCAACTTGATTTTATATCGGAAAACTCTGAGCTGTTTCTTCTGTCACGGGTAGGACAAAGAAAAGACACTGCTTTTTGGAGAACGTATATTTTAGATTAGAATTAGATGTTTTACTATACAGAAAAGAACCAGCAATCCTAACAAAGCACAAACCATAACAAGAATTAGTTTATTATTAAAAAATTCAAAATTCTCCTGTCCAGGGTGGGGCACGTACGATATTCTTCATGAAATAGAGCTTCTAGTGAGATCCATATCAAAGGGCTCGGGTATGATGATTGTTAGAGGCCAAATACAAGATCTATTTACCCACTTTTATCACAGTAGAGTCATTTTAAGACGCACGATATACTGCTGCCCTCAGGATCTATTTTAGGGGGCAAAGTTACACCAAACGAAAGCTAGAATTCGCCAGATTGATGTATTAAAATGCATGGGAGAATGGATTTTTTGCAAACGCATGACATTTTATATGCATTTTCCAAATACACTTCTGCTCGGTGCATTTGATTGCAATGAAATTTCGAATGTGCCTTAATGATTTTCAAGTTTGTTTGGACTAGCTATGTATGTCTGGCTAACACTAACTAAAGGTTAAACATGGATATCGACTCCTGTTATCACGTCGATAGCGATGTCTAACCTGCTGTTAGTGTTAACCAGACATTGAGTAACCGGCCCTAAGAGTGGCTGGAGTTGAGTTTTTTTTGGAAAACTGATTTCATGGAAAAGCAGGCTCAAATTTAGCTATTCTTTGGTGAAACCATACGACGCCAAAAAAGATCTTGTGTATCGATGTCTAATCCGAAAAGTTATCTGCATTAGAATACTTATACGCAGATACAAATATATATCTTTGTCACTTAAATGCTATTTCTCAGATTGAATTTATAAATTAGGCGAACTTCTAGATTTTCTTGGTTAAAATTTTTTGAGGTAATTGTTAGTATTGCCTTTTGGATTGTTGGTAAGCAACCCTCATCATAGAATTCTCTGGAGTCTCTATGATAGTAATGTTTACCTTGACCTTTCGAGCTGACCACGCGAAATTTTTTACTACATCGCTTAGCCCATCAACAGTATTATGGTGTTAAATCAATCTGAACTTCAAATTTTTTGTGGCATTAAACATAGGTTTGAAACGGTAAACTTTTTTTTTATTGTTAGGCACCATTAGAAAAAAATTATAAGTGATTGTTACGGGCGGGACTCGATAAAACGTCAAAATCTTTAAAGTAGGAACTTATAATATAATAAAAGAAATGTAATAGGGCTGCATAGTATAAACACAATCTAGTTATGAAATTATAGAAAAATCCCTAAAGTAGTAACAGAACTATACGAAGCTTAAAACTTTTTTGTCACGGGTGGGACATGCAAAACCGTAGTGATTTGTTCCCATTATGTAATTTAAATGCCTATTTTTCTTCAATGCCATGTTGCTTCTTTGGGACGAAGAAAGATCGAGACATTTATTCCCCACTTCAAAAAAATAATAACTTTGTAAATACTTGATTTTTCAGAGTCTTCTGTTTTAAAATATATTGTCGTATTCAATTACTTTTCTAATGTTGAAGTTTCTAGTGCATTTACAGTGTAATAAAATATTATAACTAAATTTTTTCGTCGAAAATACGTTAATTTTAGGTATGTAGCATTGATTAATCAAGTATTCCATGTTCAATAAGTTACTTTTTAATTGGACACAAAGTTTCACTAACTCATGCAATACCCCATGAGTTAAATTAACTTATTAATTACCCAAACATAATTATCAATTAAAAATAAATTCGTAATATAAGCATTTTATGTAGTATTTAATCAGAACATAACGTCGCTGGAATAATGAAATAGTGTAACATGAAAAGTATAGTTTTGAGAAAAAACGAATTGAAAGTTTTTATAAACTATTACAAACCATACAAATACAATTTCGTTTTTCGGGAATAAATTAGTGAGCCAAAGAGATATTTAAGAAAACTAAAGATTTTTCTAATAGATTAAAGGATTGTCTATCCAATGGTGCAATTATCG